TATATATATATATATATATGATTACACTATATATATAGTGGTATATATATATCACATATATATAGTGGTTGTAATTATATATATATGTATATAGTGGTTGAAATTGAATATGTGTATATATATGAAACTTAACGTGGTTAAAATACAATATTTATTTAACAACGTTCTTATTTAATGCCTGATATGTATTATAAATTGATATCACAAAATATTTATTCATGAACGCGTTTTAGTTTGTCAGAATATATATATATATATATATATATATATAAAATCTTTGTAAAATATAATACTTTTTATTACCATATCTCTCACATAAATCACTGAACTTAACATTAATAGTTATCGTAACAAATTCTCAAGGCATTTTTCTAAAACGAGTCGAAGAGGGGTGCTGAAATCACGATTCATCATCGTCAGACTGAGATAATTGGCTGTGGCCTCGTGCACTTTTGATAAGAATCGTTTATAAAAGTAGTAGTCTCATGCAGCTAAGACATCAGTCACTTTCTGACTCTTAGCTGACAGTGAATTCAAGAAAAATGAAAGGCATCCTCGCGATCATTTTCGCCATTGCGCTGGCCTCGGAGCCAGGTAAAGCTGCTCCGTCTAGCAGTACCAATACTCCAGCATCTCTTGAGGCTCAATTGACCGACTTTATCAGCCAGGCTCAAACGAACTTCAACGACTTGACTAAGGAACTCCAGGAACGATTGAACATACCCGATCAGGAGACCTTCGTGAAAAATGTCAAGGATCAGAGCAGCAATTTGATTACCAATATTCAAGAGTACATAAACAACGCTACCGAACAGGTAACTTACTCGGATTGAATTCAATTTAATGCTTTGAATTGTGCGATTCTTCAACTTAATTTAATGCTAACTTGAAAACTTGGTCCCCATGTTTTTTCAATTATGCTTAAAAAAGATATAGAGAGAGAGAAAAAAAAATATATATATATATGCGAAATTTCTATGTTAAGTTTACGCTTGTTTTAGATAAAAAATAATCCTGAATTGGAGAGATCGTGGAACAACGTTAAAACCAAGCTCAACAAAGTAGTTGACGACGTTAACAGTGGAATCCCGGACGCTCAACAACAGGTCACCGACTTGCAGAGTAAATTCCAGCAAGCAGTTCAAGCTATACTCAAGGAATCCGACACTACCGCTAAATCTCTGGGCCAGTACTCCGGCAAAGTCCAGGAAGAAATTGCAAAGTTGACGAAACAAGTTGTTGGTATAGCCACGGAAGCAACGCAGAACCTAAACAATCAACTTCAGACCGCCACAACTCAGAAAAGCTAAAACTAAAACTTTTCAATTAATAATCCCGCAAAAAGGAGAGATATATATGTTTTTAAAACTCTGTATTATACGCTGTAGTTATGAATTAAATAACTTACACCGATTGAAATTTTATCAATCTTCCGTTTGACATCTTTAATCGTTCTCCTAATGAGCGTTTTAAATGTGTCGCGACGAGTTTAAATATGTAACAAATATAGGCGATCATGTATCACCCGATCAACCTCTAAACGATACCACAATTGTGACGTAACAATTGTGCTTACAAAAGAAATTGCTTAATCATCTGAAATAATGAATTGCTTAACGTTAAACATGTATATTTACGTGAATATTTATTTAGTGTCAGCACATACCATTCGACGAAAAAATGTTCGGTTAAGAGAAATAAATTCGTCAGGGGGCTCTCCCTCTGGCACATCCATGTACATCGAAAAACAATAAGGACGTTGGCTAAATCGCATTGAGGATATACAGCAATATTCATTCATCGATTCATTTCTTAGTTCCTGCTGTATCGATCTTTAATATTCCTTTCATGTGTACGGTTGCACATGCAATTTGATTTTAAGAAAAGGAAAGAAAAAAATGAAAACATTTTTGTTACTGCTTTTTGCAATACTCCTGGTAAGTAACAAAGTTTCGATTATTCAAAACTGCACGTATTATTGTTGAACTTTCCATCCACCAGATGATAATGGCGGGAACGAAAAGAACATTCGCGAGGGAGCAAAAAAGTGTCCTGGCAAAATTTTCGAACGTCCTATCGAGCGGTTCGAACAGCCGTACTGACAGGGAGAAAAAGATAAATAAGGGATTCGAATGGATAATCCAAGGTGTGCACATTTTGGGTCAAGTGGACAATTTCATATCTGACAGAACGAAGAATATCATTCGAAAATTGCACACAGTTTATAACGAAGATTATAGAGACGCACGCGGACAATCTAAACGAAATTCAAAACAAAATTATTAAATGTACATAACGCGTCAGTTCTTTTTTTTTTTACCTAAGTGTGTGTGTGTGTATATATATATATATAAATGTTATATAGTATTTTGGAAAATATAACTTGACTTACAAATTTTCAAACAATCATTAATAAAGAAAGATTTCCCTTGAATACAAGCGGGTTGCTACACAGCTTAAAGATACTTAAAGATACATTTCCATTAGAGAAGGAAATATGTATGTACCTACGTGATTCTCGATGAGAACGGGTACTTAAGCATTGCGGATGATCTTTATCGGGGCATGCACGAATTTCTCACTAGGTGGCGACTGTATCTGACAGTCACCGGGATCAGGTTGATCAGGCGACTTGTGCTAAGTTTTATCGTTTACCACATGTTGATTAATTAAATAGAAGTACAATATCGTGGCCGGAATTATTATTTGGGGCTACCGTCGTTCGTTTCTTCGCTCCGTCAACGCTGAAATCCCGCTAAGGTGATCCTCTGCGTGAAGAGTTACGAAGTTACGTCACGCACTAGCAAGATATCGTGTGTCGAGTAGACTGTGGTCACCCATACGTCTCCTCGAATACAAAGGGTTCCTGCTTTCTTTGCTTACACTCCCGTGTCTGTCAAAATTCAAAAGTCACGCACGCGCTAGACTTTCGCGAACGAGTGTTTAGATTTAACTACAGCACTGGCGCATAACCTATAAGCGTGGATCGTGATACGAAAACCGATTGTGAATGTTGGTAGTTGTTGCAGCTAGCACCTCCTGTCAATCATTCTCCTAGGGTCGGGAAAGATTTGAAAATTGAAATCTTGAACAGCTAACGAGGAGTTACGTTTAAGAAACGGGAAAAGAGAAAAGAGACCGTCGGTATCTCCCTGCGTTGGGATTATTCGATTAAAAATATTTTTTAACGTTAAGTAGTCACCGGGAAATTAGTCAAAATTCCGGTCCCCACTAGGAAACGAGAAGGCCCGCAACAAACCGGCGGCAGAAATCCACTAACCACTGGCGAAGAACCCTCGTCGAGTGGAAAAATGAATAGCAAAAGAAAGAATCGTTCAAATACAAACAGGTACATATTTTTTTTTCTTCTGTTTCGTTGTGTGTGTATGTGTGTGTGTGTGTGTGTGTGTGTGTGTGCGCGCGCGCGCGCGCGTGTGTG